ACTAAATTAACGTGTTTGTTAAATAAATTCTCCTTTCAGACTACTTGCTGAATATCAAATAGACATGCCCAATTCTTCTGGAAATGCTTCAAATTCCAATACTCAGTCCAATTCTGACAATCCTACCCCTGGAGTACGTTTGCGGACATTCAGTCTTGCAGTCGGTGGAAAGCAGGTAAGCAGATATTTAAAACAGTGAGGCATTCATACATTTTTAGGAATATTCTTTAAAATATAATAAGCCCTTTTGCTTAATGTATTTTGCAAGATTGAAGGAAATACCACTCTTTGATACTCAGTGGCTTGCCCAATTTTTTGTTCATTAGTTATCCAGAAGTTCGCTGCAGCTGATAAGTAAATGTATCTTTACCATTTTAACAGCAGTCACAAGAAACTCGTCGCATCAGCTTTACAACAGGTACAACTCATGCAGCCCTGAGTGCATTCTTAGGAACCAAATCTTCAAAGAGAAGGGCATCCCTGATGCCAGATATACGCCCATTCCAAGAGAGCAAAGCTTCCATAGCTGCTGTTGCCGCTGCTGCTGCCGCTGCTGCTGCATCAAGTAGAGCCAGCATATCTGCTGCAAGTAAAGATAAAGCAGAGAAAAATGGGCAGACTTCTAATGGGTAAGATTGAATTAAATTCTTCTTCAAAAAAATATTACAGTTTCAGAATACAGGATAATATATACCTACCTTTTACAGGTAACTTGAGTAATATATTACTTATATCCACCTTTTTTGTCTCCCATCTTTCTGCTTTAGATAGTTTTGTTAGTCAGATAAATGCAAAAATTACACCATTGTTCTTCTTTTTGTCAGAGTGTTTAGCATAACAGAAGAAGGTAGTGAAAGTGGCGGAGAAGGAAGTGACACGCCCCCAAATTCCTCTGGAGGAACACCAACAGCTTTAGCAATAAGCAGAACTTTGGCTCAGCTTCATCCTGATTTGTACAGTGCTGTGCCCAATACACAAGAGGCTACTCGCAGGTACTATTCCTCTTCTGTGCTTATACATGCATTGCACTGTTATTGTATATTCGTTTTGTAGTTGATTTTGTCTTCTTTCAGTGCCTTTGGTTTCTATGATCAAGAAACTATCAGAAGGAAATGTGCTAATAAAGTATTTTGAATGTATGTATATATATATATATGTATGTATGTATGTATGTACATTCGAGTGTACATATGTATGTACATTCAAGTATACAGATGTATGTACATTCAAGTATATGCAAGTATGTGTCTTTTTGTATGTAGATGTATGCATGTACATGTATGTGTATATATGTATATACATGTGTATATATGTATATAACATGTGTATATATGTATATATGTATATTGTAGTGTATATATGTATTGTTGTGTGTGTGTGTGTGTGTGTGGTGTGTGTGTGTGTTGTGTGTGTGTGTCTGTGTGTGTGTGTGTGTGTGTGTGTGTGTGTGTCTGTGTGTGTGTCTGTGTCTGTGTGTGTGTCTGTGTCTGTGTCTGAATAATCTGATTTGATTCATTTCCTATAGGTTAAGTGAAGATGACAGTTCAGGCTCCATAACTCAGTCTATGGCAGCAGACTCAACAGTAACAAGTACTCCAGCTCCAAATCCTGAAGCAGGGCCACAGCAGTAAGTAATATTTGTGCATTTTTTAACCCATGGTCTGTAATACCTAACTTGATTATTGTCTTTAAATCAAACATTCTGATATTGATTTCCATTTGATTTAACTCTCAAAGTTGATGTTGAGTATATGTGTCTATAAGTTTAATTTTTATCTAGTGATTACTCGTGCTGTCACAAAGATTTAAAAAAAGGCCTAAGGAATACTCGTTTACTCAGCATGCAATTTACAGTGACAGACTCCCTACATCCTTACAACCCAGACAACCTTACCAATCCATCTACATTCATACCTACACTAGCACAACCAACCAACCCCATCTCAGAAATGCACACACATTTAATGAATTCATATTTTTCCTTTTGTCTTGCAGTTGGCTGATGGTCGGGTTGGAAGATGTTATAGGCTGGATTCGTGGAGGAAGATGGCCTTACTCCTCACAACAGACTGTACTAGGTGCTCGTTATGCATTTACATCTCTTTTATTATTATTAGCTGCCTTTTTCCTACTGTTGACCATATCTTCGAGTGATCAGCAGGTACCACAGCCTTATCACCCTGGCTGGACTTCTATCACTCATGTACTGCATCCATTTGTGACTCTGAGATATGTTGGGACACCTCCAACATGACAAGTGAAAGATGAAGTACATATTATTTCAACATAGTGTAAATAGAACAAATATTATTTTACTTTAACTGTCCTGATTCTAATCTAAGAATAGCTTTTGTGTCCAAAGTATATTTCTAGAGTCTTAGGTCAATATTTTTTTGCTGCCTCAAGAATATTCTGACATTTTTTGTGATTTGAACAATGTGACTGACAACAAAATTAAAGTTATAGCATATACATTTGTTTTATCAGTTTGTTACTCGCTATGAAAGAATGCTATAAAAGTGCTATAATTAGAATTTTGTGTGGGAATCATTTGGTGATAGATTCAACTCCCTGTCTGTATGTCAGATTCTGTGGTAATGTAAAAAGAAATACTAAATAATTGATTTTTTTCATGATTAGTTTCTTTCCAATTGAAAATATGCTATCAGTAACATTGATTATTGCTAGATATGCATAATTTAATGCTACTGATATATTTCTCTGTCATATAGATAATCTATATGCTTATTTTAGTTCTTCATAACAGACTCAAGGAATATTTTATTAGTGCCATTTATTTACCTATGGACCAGTGTGTCTTTCCGGCCTAGTGACTAAATATACAATTTCTTTAGTAATATGTTTATATGTTAGAGACTTTGTAAAGGAGAGGTATTTCAAAATATACAAGTATTTATTTTTACAAGGTTTATATCCATATTACAAAAGAAAGTATGTATTTTATTTACTGTGATAAATAGGAATGAAGTCATTTCAATAAAAGTATCATAAAAGTGTATTTTCAGGTTTTCATTCCCTAAATGTACTCTCCTAAACCTCACCCACCCACACTAACCACACCAACACATTACACACCTGCACCGGCCTCAACCTTCAGCAGCACAAAAACCAAACCAAAACCCCCCGCACCGACATCCAAATGACCCAATGACCTCACTGCCCGAATGTGGCCAACCATAATCAACACCAACCCCCTACAACACCCCCCAAACACCCCCCATTCACCGAAAGAACCCAACCACTACCCATAGAACCCACCCATCACCCAATAACAATAACAAACACCAATTTAAACCCTGCCCAAATACCACCCCCACACAATACACATACACACACCCAAAACCCACCAATACACACACAAAAAATACCCACGCAATCACCACAAACACCACAGCACAACACAACACACACACACACACACACCACCACACCCACCACAACACCACACACACCACACAACAACCACACACCTCACCACACACCACAACCACACACACACACACACCACAACACACACACCAACACACAACACACACCACACACACACACACACACACCCACACACACACAACACACCACACACACACACACACACACCACAACACCACACACACACACAACACAACACCACACACACACACCACACACACCACAACACACACAACCACACACACACACACACCACACACACAACACCACAACACAACACACCACACACACACCACACACCACACACACACACACCACACACACCACACACACACCACACAACACACACACACACACACACCACACACACACACACACACACCACACACATACACACACAACACACACACCACACCACACACACACACACACACACACACAACACACACACACACACACACACACACACACACACACACACACACACACACACACACACACACACACACCACACCACACACACACACACACACACACCACACACACACACACACACACACACACACACACACCACACACACACACACACACACACAACACACACACACACAACACACACACACACACACACACAACACCACCACACACACACACACACCACACACACACACACACACACACACACACACACACACACACACACACACACACACCACACACACACACACACAACACACACACACACACACACACACCACACACACACACACACACACACACACCACACACACACACACACACACACACACACACACACACACACACACACACACACACACACACACACACACACACACACACACACACACACACACACACACACACACACACACCACACACACACCACACACCACACACACACACACACACACACACACACACACACACACACACACACACACACACCACACCACACCACACCACACACACACACACACACACACACACACACACACACACACACACACACACACACACACACACACACCACACACACACACACACACACACACACACACACACACACACACACACACACACACACACACACACACACACACACACACACACACACACACACACACACATTCTTTCCTCTTCTTTTTCCACATATACTCCCCGTCTCCCTCTATTTTGGTAATTTGCTTGTCTGATACAGAGATAACTGTAGAAAATTTTTATGTATGAGTGGCTATTCATTCCCATTTACACCTTTTTCTACATGTCAGAATGAACGATTTGGATATTTCATTGTCTGGTGGGGAGCCAACACAGGCCTCTCATTTAAAAGGAATTTACTTATCATAAAGCTAGCTTTTTGAAGTTATCTGTTTTTGAGTAATGTCCCCATTGATTTTGCTTTCATAGAAGGGCAATGATTAGACGGGTATATAGTATCAGTTTAGTGTCACTGGAAGTATATACTCAGTCTTTCTTTTCCCTTTCTTTCCTTTCCCTCTCTGTCTCTATATCATTAGAGAATGGCTAATAATAAGCTGAAAGTACGCTGTCAAGATTAGCATAACAGAGCACTGGGTTACTCAATTTATAAGAATTAGAAATGTGGGAGGGTATGAAGTCATTGATGCCAGAGACAAACACTATCCTTTATGATTTTGCTTGCTTTACTTATTTTTTACAAACAGATGAAACTGCAGGAACTTAATGGGTCACCTAATAGACCTAAATTAACCTTGCCAGCTTACCTCATCTTTTGAATCTTATGATTTATGATACTATTACCATTATTCTAACATCATCCTTATGACATTAATAATAATGATAATAGAAATAAAAACATTTTTATACACAAAGAATCAAGAAATGGGATAAACAGGAGAGGTTAGGCTCCTTGGTGAACAGCTGCCTGTGAAGGCATGTATAAATTAAAAAGTAAATAAATAAAAGAAAGCCATAATGGCCAGGATACATACACATGCATTTCTAGTGTTAGTGAGTTATGTGACATAATTAATCATTAAACTAAATTTCCTTTGAGAGAGAAAAAGGTACCTTATTTTACTTACGATATTTAAAAGTTCTAGCAATACTAGCTATAATAGTGCCATACCTAGTCCAGCAAATGATAAGAAACCACTGAACTTAAAGAATGTGGCCTACTTGTGATACCCAACTATATCTAGTTTGCAAACAAAATATAGAGGCTCTAGTACAGTAAGCTTCTAATATACTATAATAGATTTACCTTTCTACGAGAATCAAGAAAACTTTATATACAATATGCAATATAAGAAAAAGTACAATCTACTGTCTTTTTACCCATGCATCCCTGATTTCACTTATTCCTGCTAATTTAACCAACTAGTGCTGATAACCTGAATACACACAGTGCTTATTCGCCAAGGAGTTTATTACTTTGCCATTCTTGAATTTTCCCCATTTCTTAAATTTTTGTGGAAGATTTTTTGTATGTCATTATTAATGATAACTGCAATAATCATAATAATGCTAATGATAGTAAGTTATCCAAGTAGCTTTTCCCAGACAATTCAAGTGACGGAGTAAGTAGATGAGGCTAGAAAGGACTACTAACTGATTCCTTGGTAACTCAGTGCTTGTGAAGAAGCTATCTAAGGATTAATAAAATTGACAAAACAACCGAGGAAAGTGCATGGCTTAAGATGTTTACAGAAATATTTTGTGCTATTTCAGAATCTTGATTAATTTTCCAAATACCACATAGCATTCATGTGCTTAAAGGATTAATAGATTATCTTCATTGATAATTTTTATTCAAATCATTTTACAAGTCACAAACTTTGACTAATAGTATTGAGTATGATTTTATAAACAAAATAATTATGAGCTGTTTTTTTAGTTTTTAATTTTCAGTAAATGTTAATCATGGATATTTTCCTTTGCAACACTGCTACAGTAATTCCATAAAACATTAACAATAAGTTTGTACTTATAGTAAAGTAACAATAAAAATCTATAAATTTATAAAAATACACTATAAATGTTAAACCTGTGGATTTCGAAACCATTAAAGTTGCTTCTAATTTAGGTTAATTTACAAAATTCTATGAGCATTACCATAAAAATTCCATTCATTACAAGCATGCAAAAAATATACAAATAACTCCTGTTCAAATCTTTATGAATAAATACCTACATACCTACCTACATATATATAATATTAAATAATATATAATAATATATATAAATATATAAATACATATATATATATAGTAATTAATATTTATACACTTATATATGATATAATATTATATATAAATATATATATATAAAGATATTAAGATATATTAATTATAATTATATAAGTATAATATACTATTTATCAAATTTATAAATAAATAATAATAATGATTATAAACACACACACACACTTATCCACACACATAATTTAATACTATTAATATAACAATACATAATATCTATTCACACACTAGTTATATATTATAATATATTATATATATTATACACACACACACACTAAATATCATATAGTAGTAATAATAAACTAATATTGATAAAATAATGTATATAATGTATCGTAATAGTTTTATCTAAGGTATATATATATATATTACACACACACAATTAATATATATTCACTATAAACAATACACACAAACGATTTAAATAAAAAATATCACACCAAAATATAAATTATAAAATAAATTTTATAATATATATAATTATTTCATATAATAATTATAAAAATACATATATAAATACAAATAAGTATATAAAACAAATACAATATAATCACAAATATAAATTAAAGCATACATATATAAATACATATAAATTAAGAATATGTATTATATATATAATACTTCACACACACACCACTCATAAAATAATAAATATATATAAATATATTAATAGTATTATAATATAAATATATATATAAATTATAAATATAATATGAGTAAATAGCAAATTCACACACACCACATATATATATTAAGTATAAAATACAAATAATTATATAACTAAATAAATATAAAATATATGACAAATATAAATATAAATACATGTAAATATATAATATATACTATAATTAAATTACTATGAATAAAAAAAGATAATCCATTATACACACCATATAATATATATATTATTATTTATATTCTATAATTAATAAAATATAACAATGTATATCATATATTATAAATTATTAAATATTGATTATATATATATATATTATATATTATATTACACTAAAACTTATTAAATATAACGTAAATATATTCCTATATATATATATCTATTATTTATATATAATTAATCAATATCAGATAACATTATAATTAGATAATAATATTATATTAGCTAAAGCGGGAAGGGGTAAGTATATACCAACTAGTATATATATAGTACCTGGGCGGGCAGGCTATAACATATAATAATAAAATAATGAAGTTATATCAGAGGAGTAGTAGTATATAGGTTTTTTATAAGGAACATTTATATGTAAGTAGTATAAATAGGGGGTAATAGGGCTGATATGGAGATATAAACCGTATAAGAACGCAGAGGGACGTTGTAGGGGATAGGAGGATATATATAGGTAGGTGAGGGTAATAAGTATGGGGTGGAGCACACGGGGTGAGTGTGTTTGTAGGGTATAAGTGGTGGATAGGTGAATATGTATGTTGGTAGTTTTATATAGTAACACAGGGAATAATATATCATAATATATAGAAGCATATTGAACACATTTATGAGTGTATATGTGATCACTATGATATATTATATAGTATGCTAGGTATAGGTATGTATAGTTTGAAAGTTTTGTATATAGAGTGCATAATTATAGGGCATATAGTATACACGTACCACAATAGATAATATATAGCATGTATTATATATAACATTACATATATAATAATATATATATACACTATATATATATATATATAAGCATATATATACAATGTATAGACATGTATATGAGCTATGTAACATAAAGGGCTATATTATAATATCACTTATAAAATAAGGTATACCTATATATACACACACACATATAGTATACATATAATTATTAATATATATATTATATAAGTTATATACATATTATATACATATAGTCACACACACTATACGTATATATATATATATTATATATATATATAGTATAGTACCCATGATGATAATAATGTAGGTATATAGTGAGGTGCGTTCATCATATATAAGTGGTTTATATGAATATATGAGGTCGTATGAGGGTAATTATGGACATGTTAGTATATATAAGGAGGTGGCAGTAATACAGGTGAGATCGGGGGGGGGACCTATGATAGAGCGGGTACCGAGCGTCTCATATATATAATATAGTAGATAAAGTGATACTGTACGTATTATATAGTATATATATATATAAGTAGAGTAAAATATAATAAAAGATATAATATAATATTATAACATGTATGTATGATGTATATATATATATTATATATAATAGATAAGTATAGTATAAACAACATATATATTTTAATATATAATATAACACCATATTAATAATATTATAAACACACAAATAATATTATATATACTATATATATATATAAATATATATCTATATATTATATAATATATGATTATTATATAAATAATACTATCTATTAAAAATATTATATCTATACACACACACACAATATGATTATCACTTTATTATTATATATATACATTATATTTATATACACATATATATTTGTATATTTAGTACTTATAATATATATTATAATATAATATATATAAAATGTAATTTCTATAATATTACAAAAATACAAATCAAAATATATTTATTATCAAATAAATAGACATTCTTTAATATGAAATATTTTATATATTATATATTTTTTATGCTATATATATATATAAAATTTTATTATTATATATATATAGAAGGAGATTTACATGATATTATATTTATGTATATAACATTATATAATGGTATGTTTCCAGTCACGAGTATGTGTGAGTGGCATTTTATATTTATAGTAAATTCTTATCTATAGACGGAATAATTACATACATTATAATATTAGCTACTATACTCAAGAAATTGTCGTAACGGAGCTTTAGAGCATACTATGATTGATGGATTAGGTTTGTTACTCAGCGCGGCACAGTATTAGGTCATCACACACACCCAGTTATATATATATATTATATACACTATATATATATATAATTATATATACTACATACTTACATATATTAATCCATATTAGGGTATAGTATATACATAATATTTACATATATATATATATACAATTATATATTATATATACATATACATAATTATATATACATATATGTATACATATACATATATATATACATATATATAATATATATATATATATATATATATATATATATATATCATATATATATATATATATATATATATATATATATATATACATATATATATATATATATATATATATATTATATATATATAGTATATATATATACATATATATATATATATATATATATATATATATATATATATATATATATATATATATATATAATATATATATATACATATATATATATAATATAATATATATATAATTATATATATATACATATATATTATCATACATATATACATATATATATATATATATATATATATATATATATATATATATATACATATAATAATATATTATAGCAATATATACTATATTAATATACATTATAATATATTACATATATATATCATTATATATACATAGCATCAACCCTTTCAGTGATTCTGACATTGTCAGAATCACTGAAAGACCCCTAGTCAAATGGACAACAAGTGACAGCAGAAGCTAAATTCTTTAATGAAATATCAACTGGAGTGTAACATACTGAGTATCCCCACTAAGCCCTTTTTTGTCACTGTATTTGAATGTATGCAGTACAAATTTCCTCTGTGAGCATTTAGGAAAAGGCTCTTGCAATATTCCTATCCGTAAAACAAGTGTGGAATGTACCATTCTTGAGCCATGACAGGGAAGAACTGTTTCCAGGCTCAGGACTGATGGTACAGGTTGTATTACAGAAAAAAAAGAAAAAAAAAAAAAAGAAGAAAGAAAAGAAAGAGGAGGAGAGGGGGGGGGAGAGAGAGAGGAGAGAGAGAGAGGAGAGAGAGAGAGAGAGAGAGAGAGAGAGAGAGAGAGAGAGAGAGAGAGAGAGAGAGAGAAGAGAGAGAGAGAGAGAGAGAGAGAGAGAGAGAGAGAGAGAGAGAGAGAGAGAGAGAGAGAGAGAGAGAGAGAGAGAGAGAGAGAGAGAGAGAGAGAGAGAGAGAGAGAGGAGAGAGAGAGAGAGAGGAGAGAGAGAGAGAGAGAGAGAGAGAGAGAGAGAGAGAGAGGGAGGAAGAGAGAGAGAGAGAGAGAGAGAGAGAGAGAGAGGGGAGAGAGAGAGGGGGGGAGAGAGAGGGGAGAGAGGGGAGAGAGGGAGAGAGAGAGGGGAGAGGGAGAGAGAGAGGAGAGGGAGAGGAGAGGGAGAGAGAGAGGGAGAGGGAGAGATGAGAGGAGAGGGAGAGGAGAGAGAGAGAGGAGAGAGGGAGGAGGAGAGAGAGAGGAGAGAGGGGGAGAGGGAGAGAGAGAGGAGGAGAGGGAGAGGGGGGAGAGAGAGAGAGAGAGGGGGGGGGGGAGATTCAAAACTGCTGAAATCAGTATTAACCCCTTAGTCATGGGCACTCTCCTTGCTATCATGACGGATGATGTGTATACAAGTCTTAATTTGCTCTAATGAGTGAGAGGGCACATGCCCAGCCAGAATGGCTACACTGTTGCATAATTACTCCATCACAGAAAATTTTGGAAATACAGGCATTCCACGACACAGGGGATGCCTATGATTTCAGAACATATCAACAAAAGGGGCTAACTTTGGCAACCATTGTCTCATTATCAACCTTAAGGATAGCCTATCACGTAAATCAATGTTACAGTACAATCCTAGTGTGTGAACATATAATCAAATTAGTTGGGAAAAAATCTTTCACAGCACGTTTTACACTTTTTTACTTTCCCTGAATATCAGGAATGATGATACTGCCTTATTCTATTGACGATGATATGAGATATGAGATAAGACAAGACAAAAGGCTATCAGGGAAGAGAAAAGAGTAGAGAGAGAAACAAAAAAGAACAACAGAATGGAAAATGGCTGATTGTATACATCATTAAATCCTAAAATCACACAAAACAATAATTTCTGTATGACAGTCATACAAATTCTTTTTTAAAGCTCTATAAAGAAGATACGAGAATCAAAATAATGTATCCCTCTTTCTCCTAACTGTATGCATCAATAAGTAAGTGCATCATCAGTAAGCTATTTCCTACATGTGTGTAATGAAAAGTGGCTTTGTGTATTGATGAGTAAAATATATGTAAAATGACTAGGAACAGACAGATATAATATGGACTTGGGACCAATCGCTGCTTCAGCCAATCAACACTGTGCTTCTTCTTCTAAGTCCTTAATGTTTTGTAGCTTATTATTATAAAAAATTTGTCCCTTATATGTTTTTTTTATCCAGTAGCATTTATCATCACATGTGCACCAAAAATTGAAAGATGCCAGGCACTTTTCATTTAAGAGAAACTTGAAGAAAGTGTTCATATTTTTCTCTTCCGTATAGTGGTAGGTTGACCCTATTGTCACTGAAAAAGGTTCAATAAGCCCATCACTGACTGACTTCTTGTTCCCCTTGAAATGGTTGATAAGAGTAATAATGCCTTCCTGAGTCAGTTTGGTTTGTCTGAAGTATATGGATTGGGCCACTGCCAGTCTATGAAAGAGTTTGAACAACTGGCTTGATGGATCAGTCAGGTTGAGGGATGCATTTGTTAGTTCTGTCAGAGTGCAAGTCACTCGCAGATCTCCACACAGATCCTTCCTGATAGTAATGAGATTACTGACAAAACTGAAACTAAGAATGTCATAGTAATATATATCCTCAATCAAACATACCACGTCTTCCAAAGTTTCTCTGTCATCCTCACTTTCTTGTCCAGGGCAAATGCATGGAAAGTTTTGGCAAGCACTACACAGTCCTGCATTTGAAGTTATAATCAACTCCTTACCTGGTGGCTTATTTTTTTGCCTCCTCAGTCTCAACTCTTTTGGGAGTCTTGGCTTTTTAGCAAAATCAGTGATAGCTTCAATAGCATTTTCTCTCTCCATCCTCATTTTCTTTGTCATTGACTCAAGCTGCTCAACTGAGTCAAAATTTGTAGTGAGTGAAATCAGTACCTTCCTAACACCTTTTAGAGTCACCTGGGAATCTAATATCATGAGACGTTCTGTGTTGCACTTGCTAAAAATATTCAGTAACAGATAGTTGTTAGAATCATTGTAAAAATCCATATTTCTGAGCATCAGCCTCTCAAGTTTAGGGGGCAAGTTTAAGTTCATCATCATAACAAACATCCAACTAGATCTAGGACATGTTTCTAACTCTGAATTGTCAATACTCATTGCTTCTGGACTCTCTACACTGGCTTTCTTACCACCTGCTTGATTGTCTTGATTTGGTTTGCATATGAGATACAGGGTTTTTAATTTTTCAAAACGAGACAAATCTAATTTAAAGCTATCTGACACACAGAGGTCATGAATGCTTAGTGATGAAAGATAAAGAGGGTTTTCTAGCTGATTTATGAATTTCTGGATTTTAGGAAAATATCTCAAAATAAGTTTCAGGTCCATGCGCTTTGGTAATTTCAGGTTTGAGACACTAGAGAAATCAATGTCTCTTGTGTTCAAAAACAGTTTTACCGTTGCACTTTCCATAGTTGGCAGTTTATCACATAATAGCACTTCCTTAAATGTGGGAATATCATACAAACTTACATCTAAATTTTCCAGCTTCTGAAAACTTCTGCACTTGAAAACATCAGGTATACCAGAACAGAACAGAGGACCCTCAAACTCCTTTATGTAAAAAGCACAGTCTGTATCTACAATACTTTCTGGTACTTCTGCAAGTTTTTGAGGTCGTAGATCCTTTACCGTATCTCTTTTTATTCGAATCTTTACATGTGCCTGATGGTGTAGACCCTTAATATTCTTTAGCTTGTTCCATAATTCAATTAACAAGTCAATATTAGTAAGGCATTCTAACCTGATGACTACTGGTGGCCTGTCATTCAACATAACCTTGTTCAATATCTTATCAATTCTCCTCAACTTCCTTTCATTAAGGGCATCAACTTTGAAGTCCCAATATGGAATACAACTTAGCAATTTTGCAAAGAGGCTTAGACATTCTCTCTGTCCAGAACAAGCATCATCTAACTGAATCAAAAAGTCCCACTCAGTAAATGGATCTTTAACTGGATTTTCAAAAACTTTTTTATGCTTCCACTTCTTTTTCTCTTTACTACTCTCCTCATCAACATACATTGGTTCTACAGTCCCAGACGAACCATTTTTGTTAAGACTCTGGCCTAATTTTGTCTTATTTATGCAGAAAAGTGTCAATAAAAATGTTTGTATATGGTCTATATTATCCCCAATAGATTTTCTATCCTGGCTCCACGTTGAACATGCAAATCTAAATACTCTCTTAAAATTCCTGATATTATCCAACCAGTCCTTGCAAGCTTTGTTTGGATTATGTACAACATATCTTGCTGCAAGAAAATCTTGTACAATTTGGTGGATGAACCGGTAACTTTTTGGCATGTATTCAATTAAAAATAATTTACAAAACTCTTGATCAACACCAATAATATCTTTTGCTGACAGTGATGATCTTTTCTTGCAAATGCTGACAAATGCAAGTTCACTCAATGTATCTAAGTTGTTACTGCAAGTATATGACATTTTTTTCTTCACAAAATGGTTTATCATTTCAAAATCTGAATCAATTATAAGCTTAGCATTCATTTCACAAAAAATGTAAAGCATTTCTGGTAATGCCAGAATATTGCAATAATCATACTGTTTGTACAGGGATATTACATTTGTGCCATGCAGCATTTCATACTTTTCCAGGAACTGCAGTATATGAGGTTCTTCAAATGCATCTATAGTTAGAATACACCAATCTGGAGAGTGGAAGTGTGTTTTCTGATAAGCAAGCACCCAGGAACCCCTCTGCATCTCACTACAAAGTTTGTCTAAGATGTCCAGCTCCCAGTCAACTAAGAACACAGTGTCATCAATATAAAGGTTTATAACTACACCTACACCCTCTACCCCATATCTATTTACAGTGTTCGGTGCTAACTGTCTAATACACCTATACACTTTCCCCCAAAAGTCTTCTGCTTCTTTCCTTCCCGCTACACTCTGCTTATTCCAACTACTGCACTCACGAAGATACAACACCAGCGATGGTTTTCCCTCAGCTGTTTCTCGACTTAAAGAATAGGCTAAATTCTGGAGTGTGGCTGTTTTTCCACTGCCACATGGTCCACAGAGCAAAATAGGCTGCTTTCTGCTGGAAGATGTCAGGTTCTTCTGGTTTGAAATCAACCTTCCCAGATCTTCTACCACAGATAAGTCCCTGCAAAAAAGGTGAATAAGGATCAAAATCAAAGATACAAATGTATAAAAAAGGGAATAGGAGAGAAAAAAAATAAGAAGAAATCAAAAGACTAAATAAAATAGTGAAAAAGGATGGATAAAAAGAGGGAAATAACTGGCAACTCCATACAAAAGATGAACCTAATGGCAAGTAGCTAATCCTCATAACCTGCAGGATACTAGACAATATAACACAAATGGTCTTCCTGTTGCATGGCTCTGCACCTTATGAAAAGAAAAAGAAAAAGAAAAAGAAAAAGAAAAGGAAAAGGAAAAGGAAAAGAAAAAGAAAAAGAAAAGAAAAAGAAAGAAAAAGAAAAAGAAAAAGAAAAAGAAAAAGAAAAAGAAAAAGAAAAAGAAAAAGAAAAAAAGAAAAAAGAAAAAGAAAAAAAAGAAAAAGAAAAAAAAAGAAAAAAGAAAAAGAAAAAGAAAAAGAAAAGAAAACGAAAAAGAAAAAAAGAAAAAAAGAAAAGAAAGAAAGAAAAACAAAAAAAGGGGGAATTAATTACACTGACTCATCCTTGAGATTTAAAAAGACTAACAAAAATATATTGTAATCATACACATACATACCTAGGGAAGAAGAAAGAAAAAGAAAAAGAAGGAACAGAAATTGATGAAAGCCAAAATAGCTAGAACATATAAACACATCCCTCAAATTCAGTCAAATACACAATTCCTCGCCTTAGGTGGATGCAAAATCTACAAAATGGGAAACTATATATGAATACTTCATATTTTTCAGTTCAGGGCAACAAAGGAACGAATAAGGAAAGATTATCACATAAAAATATGTAAGTAGCATTAGAATAGCTTCAACATTCTTCTTATTCACACAGAATCCACAGCAAACTGATCATGGAAAATCACACACACAAAATAATTAACCAGTTTTCAAATACTAAAAAATCAAAATGACAAATACTGCGACCACCTTCCATACATTCAAACCCAAAAATTGTTATGAGCCATTTATGACCTATATCTATTCAACACTATATATAATCCCTTAAAATGATATTTACATACTAAACTTAAACCTATGATACCTCTCTATTACTTATACCTCTCTATTACTTATGCACTCCTTAAAAAAAAAAATAATAATAAATAAATAAATAAAAAAATAAAATAAAAAATAAAATAAATAAATAAATAAAAAAAAAAAAAAAAAAAAAACTAAGGAAAATAAGAAGAAAAACGAAAAAGAAAGAAGAAAATCCATTCTAATATATGAATATCACTAACAATAGAATACTTCACAGCCTCTAATAACAGATTGATTAAATCTAATAAATGTCTAACCAATGACGTAGAAAGTATGTATAGAAAATATAACAAACATTTTTTCAACTTACGATTGCTTAATAATCTTGGGTACAATGTAACAACTTGTTGGGGCATAATACTGATGGACTTCTCTCACTAACTCCTCTGGAAGTATAATGTCCTTTAGAATTACAATACTCATAAATAGGGGAAATTAATAAAAAATATTCACTCACATTAAAACTCTTAAAGCAGTTATAAAAACTTACCAAATACATCTGATGCTATCTGATGACTTAATCTTGCCTTTTCATGACACATGTGTAGCTGATAATTAATTTTTTCCTGGTCTTCTGAAGAATACTGAAGGTACTTACATAATGTACAAACCAATTCGTACAACAAGTTCAGCTTTTCCTCAAATTCTTCAATACTAAAATGAAATCTTGGATGATAGAGGCAGGTTCGGATTTCTTTCAACTTGAAAAGAGAGGCCAAGACATAGTCTGGGAACTGATAATGAAGAATATCATTTGTAATCAAATTTATAACAAAAATGAGATCCAGGGGTTTCAGTTTCGTGAAAACTTCTTCACTTGGAGATAACAGATCTTGAACTGTCATTTGCGAGAGAATTTCTTCATTCGTCTTAATGTCATGGAGGATATGATTTCTTTGCAGATACCGAGACTCGGCCTGTTGCTTGCTGTCTCCTCCGTTTCCTCTCTTTCTTTTGTGCTTCTGTTCCTGACTGTTACCCAACTCCTGAATTTGGTAAAGCAGAGAGTGGAGGGGGGTGTTCACTGTCACTTTCGCTTTTGGTTTTGATGCGCACTGAGAGGACAAATTCTCTTGGATGAAGAGTGATGTCTGGAAACCATTAACAAGTATCTTGTGGACGACTTCCCTGCATGGATTCTGTAGAAAGTGGTACAGGGGGAGGAGGCGAATCAAGCCAGGATCAGCCTGTAAAAAGAAACAATAATAAGAATGGTGATGCTGGTGATAGTGGTAACTGATGATTGATGATGATGATGACTATGGCAGTCATTACTACTATAATGATAACAGTCATACTACTATTACATGACACAACAAACAAACACACAAACACACAACACACACAAAAAAAAAAGTAAAATCAGGTATCTTTTCATGTTATTCATGCTCCTTTTAATGATTTACATTCGAAGATTAGGTAAAAAGGAATATCTGATGTGCAATTACTCTGTATTTGAGAAAGATATCAAAATACATGTTATAAAATGGTGCTATTTGGAATAAAACGTAAGCAGTTAAAATCATGGGAATATGCATTAATCTTGATACAAATCTGCAAGATATCAAAGCTTCCAGGAAATTGAAGTAAACATACATGCAGGAAAAATATATTCTTAAGTAAATTTCTTATAGAAAACATGAACTAAATGATTTCATTTAATTACTTAAAACTGATAACCTCCAATGAAATAAGAGGCACACATCCCAACAAAGAAAAGCAAGTACATGTGCCATGTGTCTTTGAACACAGGAAGAGGCTAATAATGTTGAAAACAAAAAGTCATGGTATGTTCAACAAGTACCAAACAATTGTAATACAGGATGAAAGTATTTGAATAATCTTGGGTCAACTGATATTTTAGATCAAGGATTCTCAACCTGGGAACCATGGGGCCATGGAACAATATCAAAAATTTGTCATCAAATAAAACAGAATTTGTCTCACCTAAAGCACCTACATATAATCAGATCTTACATACTAATAAAATTAATCTTTCCATTAAGTGCTTTTGCCCTATTGCTATTGACAACATTACACTATTCATAACTAGGCCTAGTAATAACAATTTGAAAAGATGACTGTCACTTAATAGGGTCATGGATATTATTTACTGGTCAGGGGCCACACAACAAAAATAGTTGGGAAACTGCTTTAGATATAGCCTACCTTGCCTAAATAATGTTTACTTACCAAAATGTATCATCATGGCCCTGATATAAGTTCAATAACTTGCTGCTACCGAATCTTTAGTATTAGTTATCAAAAAGCCGAACAGAGGTAGTATCTAATTTTAGATAACAATTTTCCATTACAATGATTAGTAATTTTTGCTATGAACATCTAAATGCTACATAGGAATGAGAAGCTTTCCAAAAGTTGTAGCAGAGAATTAAGAAGGTACTACATATATGAAATTTCAAACTAATATTCATGCAAAACAAAAGGATGTATTTGCTTTATTTGTAACTACTGAAATCAACATTTAAGATTCTTTTATGTAGATATACCTATACTTGTTGATGGGCACAAAGAACTAATGCCAGCAGACTATGTTAATATATATTAACAAATGTCAAATACCCAAATTTTAGTCTGAAAGATGAATTACAGAAGTCAAGACTAATTCACTCTGTATACAGGAGAGCTCTGTTAATTCATCACTTTTACCTTAAACAAGGCAAGAAAATGATATCAGCAACTATAGTATTCTATCTCTTTTTAACAATGTATTTACAATCTGGGCTGTGATTTGCAGGGTATATTTTTGTCATTTAGTGGTGACTATGAGGCCGCTGAAGCTTAAACTATGTTCTATCCTAATCTATTTCTTCCGCTCTATAAGATGGCGGTGTTCATTTCCCTCTATCGAAGCGCGTTGCTATAATTAACTTATACCTTACTCTGTACGTTGCCTGTATAAGCTCTTCTTAGCAATACGGTCTGTACATTTGAGACCAGTTGATGTGTGAGGATATGCCCTACTGAATATCTACATCTCAAGAGTATGTGTATGATATCAGAGATATATCAGTGATAAAATGGTTCTGCGATTGCACCTCTCAGTTACTGTAACTTGGAAAGGTTAGTCTAGTTACTGTTGGTCAGGTCTGGGTAGGCTTAGCCGGGTTTGGGTACCTTGGGCGAAGTTACTGTAAGTTTAGTTTCAGTCGATTATGCAAAGACTGCTCAAATGAATAATGAATTGGAGGGTCTGACAGTAGTATCGGAATACTTTAATGCATTTATTGGATCTTTAAAGATTCTAAAATTCCAACAATAACTAAAAATAATAAACTTTCAATAATCATATGACAGGACAGGATTTTAGATCAATAAAAGTTAATGCGGTGGGTATCAAAATTTCAGTATACAGCAGGCACAAAGAAACTGTCATCATTGTGGTATCATAAACAAATTCCACTTCTGAAATCACAGTTGAAGTATTTGCTGGCCAAGACCAAAAAAATAATTCTGGCAAGAACAGATCTGGGGCTTTGTTATTAAATATAGAACCTTTTGTAATATATATATAAAAAATGCTAACTCTTAATGTCAAGTGATTGCTACTATCGTCCAAATCTGAAAGTCAGTACTAGTGTCATCTACAAATTTACTATTCTTGGAATTCGTGAGAAGTCATGCGACCCTTGAAAGAACTTTCTGCCCCTCACGGTTCCTGTGATAACACCCCTACAAACCTTCTTAAAAAATGAATTATAATCTCTTTACACTTTTCAAGTTATCTAATGTTCTTGTATGCTTCATGCAAAACAAACACAAAAAACAAACAAATAATCAAGCAAAATCAACAAAATAATGTATCATACGAATCACAAGTACAAAACTTTGAGGACTGTATTCTAGTCCTAAAACACACTGTTCAACCAATAAAACTCACCCTTGACGATGGAAATGGTATCATCTGCTTGTCTGCTTCCATCTTTCATCCTCTGAAAAAAAAACTTCTAAACATCTACTACTTGCAACTGAAGGAACTGGGAACATAATCAACCACCCAACATACTCCTTCTCGACCCTCGCTCGTTCTCAGTGCCATACGTTTTGGGCCATGTTGAGAGTTTCAAAGTAGCTCTCGCAAAAGAATTGTTGACTTTTTTAGGTAGCTTATTAGGATACGATTACAGGCGTGTTTAGTGTTTTAAAAAAGAGTAGTTCTTCCTACGTCGAAATAAACTGGGATTTATTGTTTGTAAGGACAATGATAGCAAAAAAAAGAGAGTTGTGTGTTGGTAATCGGCATTTGTGTGTGCCCCTCACGTTTTTGACAAGAAATTCGTTCGAACGACCCATTTACACACACACACATGTACAAGCGCGCGCGCGCACTCTTATAAACACATAGGCACACGCAAGGTCTATATGGGCACACGCACACATAAGCGCGCACACACACACACTCTTATAAACACGCAGGCACACGCACAGATAAGAGCGCACACACACACACACTCTTATAAACACGCAGGCACACGCACAGATAAAAGCGCACACAGACACACACACACATACACACACACTTATAAATACGCAGGCACACGCACACATAAGCGCACACAAACACACACACACACTCTTATAAACACGCAGGCACACGCACAGATAAGAGCGCACACAGGCACACACACACATACTCACACATCTTAAAAACAGGCACACGCACACATAAGCGCACACATACACACACACACGCACTCTTAAAAACACGCAGGCACACGCACACATAAGCGCACACACACACACAAACACACACTCTTATAAACACGCTGGCACACGCACAGATAAGAGCGCACACAGGCACACACACACATACACAGACAAACACAATCACACACACGCACTCTTAAAAACACCAGGCACACGCACACATAAGCGCACACATACACACACACACGCACTCTTAAAAACACGCAGGCACACGCACACATAAGCGCACACAAACACACACACAAACACACACACACACACACACTTAAAAACACGCAAGACACTTACACATAAGCATACACACACATATACACATACATGCACACACACAAATAAAATGGTAATAATAAAGAGTGAAAATATATCATTATGTAAAACGAAAGAGTAGATTGTATTTACACAGCATGGTGCAATATTGCGTGAAAGATCAATAAGTAATTAAAAAATGCGCGGTAAGGTAAGGGAGGAAAGGGGGAGGGGGGCTTGAAATAATATGCAGAGATTATTGATATCATTATACTTAGAAGTCTTGCCTAACACACACACACACACACACACACACACAAAATAAGAATAAAATAAGAAAAAAGGCAACATCTGGTAACTTTTATCCGACGTGACGTAAACGTTTTCCACAAAAAACAGTAGATAAGATTAAACTACGTATTGATATATCTAAACACACAGAATACTACTACCTAACAAAATCAGGAGATATGCAGTGGTCTCTTTACTTGCATCACTTGAGGCCAATTTACACTCATAGTGAGTAGGTCCTACGTGTTCAGTGTTAACAGTGTAATCGCCTAACTATGGTCTCTAACTGAGAGCAATGGTGGGCCATAAAAATATTCGTATCAACACAGCTACACAGTTTTACAAAGCGAACAGTAAAGTCTTTTCTTATCGAGGTATTTATACTCCAATACAGATATTTGTACATAGATAAGAATCTTTTTATTTTGGAGAGTATTTTTATTCTCAGATTACACAAGGACAAGAAGCATTTATCCTCCAACTCAAAAATGTTCGGAGAGAGGTTTGATGATAGCAAGCTATTTTAATCTCTCAGATAAACCAATTATTAAACTCGATAATCGTATGACTATTGCTATTTCAGGTAAAATAATGAGCCGGTCATTCCTATAATTTATTATTCAATGATGAGGAGGAGAGGAGGAGAGGAGGAGGAGGAGGAGGAGGAGGAGGAGGAGGAGGAGGAGGAGGAGGAGGAGGAGGAGGAGGAGGAGGAGGAGGAGAGGAGGAGGAGGAGCAGCAAGCAGCGCAGCAGCAGCAGGAGGAGGAGGAGGAGAAGAAGGAGAAGGAAAAGAAGAAGTGGTGGTGGAGGAGGAGAAGGAGGTGGGTGGTGGTGGAGGAGGAGGAGAAGGAGGTGGCGGTAGTGGTGAGGAGGAGGAGAAGGAGGTGGCGGTAGTGGTGGGGGGAGGAGGTGGCGGTGCTGGTGGAGGAGGAGAAGGAGGTGGCGGTGCTGGTGGAGGAGAGAGGAGGCGGTGGTGGAGGAGAAGATGCAGTGGCGCCATCACGGGCACAACTTAACTACTTGTGTTGTGGGTCCAATCTAACTACTTGGGTTGTAATTTCTCCATCCTTTGAAATCAAAATCTCCGATGTAATGTGGTTCTGATATTGCTACCTCAGCCATAAACTATGATGAAATATATTACTGATGCGCAGATATATATAAATCCAAAAACTAGTATATTCACCAAAATAACAGAACTAAAAATACTATTACATATTATTTAGTTATCCATAAATGATATAGCGTTTTCTTTGTTTGTTATAACGTTTTTTCTCAATTTCGTAGCGGGGACTTTCCTAAAACAAATATTCTCAAATTGACCTGTAGCAAGGTTTCTCGATGTCACCATTGGAATCCATTGCCGGCTGTGAGATAGACTTATAAAGGAGTCACTCACAAGCAATTTAGGCTTCGTGTGAGAGAGCTAAGAATGTAACTGATCAAAGCAAAACAACTGTCAAATTTTTTATTATAGTATATATGATGTACATGCACAGAGGTAAATACACAAATACATACACATACATTGATGCATACATACCCTGTCTGGACACTAACACACAAACGCATACAAATACGCCGCACGCACACACACACAAACACATATATTATATATATATATATATATATATATATATATATATATATATATATATATATATATATATATATATATACATATATATACATATATATATATATATGTATGTATATATGTATATATATATATTATATATTTTTATATATGGAAGAAAAATCCACAATGCACAAACTAGATTGTTAATGAAAGTGAGACAATAGTGGGCTTTTCTTCCATTTTATAAACACGGTATTGTGTTTTTCATTGCATATTATATATATATATTATATATATATATATATATATATATATATATATATATATATATATACATACATATATATACATATACATATATATATATATATATATATATATATATATATATATATACATACATATATATACATATACATATATATATATATATATATATATATATATATATATATATATATATACCATAATATATATACATATATATATATATATATATATATATATATATATATATATGTATGTTATAACACACATATATAATACGTATAAATATATAATATATATTATATTATATATATACATATATATATGCATATATGTATATGTATACGTATATAATATATATATATATTATATATATATATATATATATATATATATTGTATATATATAATTATATATATATAATATATATATATATATATATATATATATATATATATATATACGTATACATATACATATATGCATATAATAGCTATGTATATATATATATAGATATATATGTATGTATATATATATATGTGTGTGTATATACATACATACATATATTATATATATATAATATATATATATATATATGTGTGTGTGTGTGTGTGTGTGTGTGTGTGTGTGTGTGTGTGTGTGTGTGTGTGTGTGGTGTGTGTGTGTGTGTGTGTCTTTTTATATATATATATATAATTATATATACATATATATACATATCTATATATATATATGTATATATGTATACGTATACACACACACACACACACATATATACATATATATATATATATATATATATATATAATATATACATATATGCAAATGTATACGTATATATATATATATATATATATATATATATATATACATATATGCAAATGTATACGTATTATATATATATATATATATATATATATATATATACACATATCTATATATACATATTACATATGTATACGTATATATATATATATATATATTATATATATATATATATATAATATATATTATATATATATATATATTATATATATATATATATATAGCATATTCGTCTGCTGTTATGACGCCCTGCCTTGAATCATAGCTTATCCTCCTCCTTTCTTACACTGTATTGCACATAATTGCACGGTCATAAGCTGACGTAACGACACCATACCTTCAGTGATGGAACCGTCACCGTTCTGATCAGTCTTGCGTCTCTGTTAACGAAGACATTTACGTTTGAATGGAGAAACCTGATGGAAATAAAGAGAGAGAATTATATATATTATATATATATATATATATATATATTATATATATGATAATAATAAAAAATATGAAAGAAATTCTGCTCTTCCCTAGCCCTTAGAATATCCGACCAACAAACTTTCAGTTAAAATGGCTCAGGGAGTAGAGAAGCCTTAATCAACAAATAAAAGAATATATAAATAAATGTGATATAACTAATAATTATAAAGGAAATCTTACTCCCTACCCGACCAACAAACTTTTTTTTACATCGGCGTTGCCTTAGAATGTGGATCCGGGTACTCAACCTGGGGCCCAGGAAGCAGTATGAAAATGATGACGTCGAATTAAACAGAAATTTATCTCACCTACAGTACCTCCATATAATTATCTCTCACATATCAATAAATTGCAATCTTTCCATAAAGTGTTCTTGTCTTATAGGTACTGACGCTATTACACTATTCCTTACTAGTAATATTTGAATCTGAAAAGATGCCATGGAGATGATCACATATTGATCAGGGGCCACATAATGAAAATGGTTGGGATCCGCTGCTTCAGACCAAATGGTTCCCTTTTATCTGTAGGAAATAGACGGTGAACCACGAACAGGTGAACCATATATATGCATACATATATATATAGGCCTATATATACATAACTATCTTCCCCTGTCTATATTTATGTCTATCGATCTATATTTCTATGTCTATCTGTCGATCTAAGCATCTCTCTGTCTATCTATTCACACATACAAGTATTTAGCTATATAACTCAGCGTGAATAACCGTGTGCGTGCGCGCCAGGACCCACGCCATTGACGTTGTCCCGCCATTCAGAACTCAAAGACCTGGAGGGAAAAGGAGAGAACTCATTGCGCGGAGACAAGCAGAAAGGCCCCTCACGATTCGTTCCTTTTCCCTCTCTAACAACAAACAAGCGGCGGTGCTTTGCGTGCATGGTGAGCCG